TAGGGTGGCTCGGGAGTGATCTGAGACTCACCCTCAGCATCACACCATTTTCCCGGAACTCCTCAAATCCAACTTCTTCTCAAAACCACTACAGAATTCCCAAGTCTGGTGTGGGTAAGGGTCACTTCCACAATGGGTTGAAGGTAAAAATTATATTTTTCCCTCAAGGACACCTTAATTCTCATTAGTTTATAATGAATTCATACAGGTGAGATTAAGCCAGGTATAACATCTTCTGTTTCCAAAACTTCTGACACCTGAGGTATACTTTTTCTGAATTAAAACTGGAGGCACATTTCACTTTTATAGTGAGAAATTTATTTATTTATTTATTTATTCCATTTATACCCCGCCCTCCCCACAGTGCAGGCTCAGGGCAGCTCACAGTCAATACATAAATACAATTAAAAGCAACATAAAATAATCAAAAACAATGACATTATAACTAATACAATTTCATAAAGTGCTGAAGATGGTTCGTTAGCTATTCAAGAAGACTTACTTCTGGAGAATGCTTACAAAGCTTAGATGTCATTCTGCTTAAGACTACAGTGCAGGCTAGATGTCAAAACCAAGGCTAGGGGTCAATAACCAAGGGCCAGGGCTCTATAGTAGTGGTGGTACCCTAGCTGAAAGCCTGGTGGAAGAATCCCATCTTGCAGGCCCTGCGGAACTGTAAAAGGTCCCACAGGGCCCTGATCTCCTCCGGGAGCTCATTTCACCAGGATGGGACCGCCACTGAAGAGGCCCTGGCCCTAGTGGTAGCAAGCCTGAAATCCTTGGGGCCCGGGAGGTTCAGTCAATTTTGAGACTCCGACCATAGTGCTCTCTGGGGTATATAAGGGGAAAGGCGGCCCCGCAGGTATGTCGGACCCTGGCCATACAGGGCTTTAAAGGTAAGAATCAGTATCTTGAAGTGGATTCGGTATGCTATTGGCAGCCAGCGCAGTATCCTCAGCGCAGGCTGGATGTGTTCCCTCAAGGGGAGACCCATCAAAAGCCTGGCTGCGGCATTCTGCACTAGCTGCAGCTTTAGAATCTGCAACAAGGGTAGCCCTATGTAGAGAGTGTTACAGTAGTCTAGTCTCGAAGTGACCATCGCATGGATCACTGTTGCTAGGTCGGCGCGGTCGAGGAAGGGAACCAACTGCCTAATCAGCCAAAGATGGTAAAAGGCCGATCTGGCAGTGGCTGCTACATGGGCCTCCACTGTTAAGGAGGCATCCAGGAGCACTCCCAAGCTCCTAACCTCTGGCACTGGCACCAACGGCACCCCATCGAAGGTCAGGAGTGGGATCCCCACGCCCAAACTGCCCCGGCTCAAGCACAGGACCTCCGTCTTCATCAGATTCAGTTTCAGCTGACTCAGCCTAAGCCAACCAGCCACAGCTTTTAACGCCTGGTCCAGGTCTTCCGGTCTGGAGTTGGACCGGCCAACCAACATCAGATAGAGCTGGGTGTCATCAGCATACTGGTGACATCCCAGCCCATGCCTCCGAGCTATCTGGGCAAGGGGGCACATATAGATGTTAAATAACATCGGGGAAAGCACTGCCTCTTGAGGCACTCCACAGTCCAGTGGACTGCTGTTCCCCTAGTGCCACCCTTTGTCCCCAACCTTGGAGAAAGGAAGCGAGCCATTGTAAGGCAAGCCCCTGAATTCCTATGTTGGCGGTTTAGAGATAGTAAGAAGAAGAATAACGCCCCCCCCCCGCGCAATAGAACCCATTAGGCTTCCTCAAAAAAAAACCACTCTTCTGAATATTCCTCAAAGCGTACATAATTCCACACTGTAGTTACATCCAATGGAAAATCACTTGGCCCTGCAAAGGCTCATTAGAGTGGCCACAACAGTGAATCACTCTGAGGCAGGGGCAGTCACCTCTGTGAGAAAGCACTGTGGACTCAGAGGAAACTTTAATTATGCAATTCACGGTTTTCACAAGGCATTGCTATTAGCTCTCTCATGACAATTTAGCGTGGCCCTCCAGACATTTGGAGCTGACTGGCCAGAACAAATGTTTGGAGGTTCTTCACAACCATAACACTAAGTTTGTTATCTATTGGTTCTAATAATGTTGCCTCATCACCAAACTTTTAAATTAGCAGTCACTGGCTTTCATTTTTACTTTTATCTAGAGGTTAAATGTAGGGATGGGCACAAACCAAAAAAACCCCAACAGTTTGGTTTGGAGCTCATCCCAAATCTGAACCGAACTGCCCAAAAAACGTTCCACCGAACTGAACCAGTTCCGTAAGTTCAGGATGTCGCAGGACGGCCCCCTGGGGTCCTAGAGACTCCATAATCGTGGGGCAACTCTGGCTGACTCTCCTCTACCTGCCCACCAAGTTTGGTGAATATTGCACTTAGGGGGTCCAAGTTATGCCTGCCCAAACAAGGTGCCCCAGGAAGGTGCTTTTGGGGGAGATGTCAGATGTGGGTTCTGCAGTTAATTAATTAATTAATTAATTTAAATTCTTATCTCACCCTCCCTGCAAGCAGGCTCAGGGCAGTTTACAAATTACAAAATATAATCAAATAGTTAAAACCATATTTCTCATAAAACACACTTCATCACAGATGCACACAATAACTTCATGCCTGGAACCAAAATCAACCATAAAGGGTTGTTGCCCTTCACAACAAAAGCAAAAGATTCCCTGACCATCCCTGGAATCAGATCCAGCTCTAATTTAAACAAACAAAATTCTCAGTGCAAAACTGTACGATTTTTCTTCTCCACTGAAGACAGCTATGAAAAGCATCTTCACATTCATCACCTCAACAATCTCCTTAACAGCCCCTGTAACATAAGCCAGCATTATTCAGATATTCCAGATGTCTATCTGAGGCTGGCAGCCTAAGGGTACTTAGGCAAGATCTGCTCTGGGGAACATTTTCTCTCTCAGGTCACACCCTTAGCTCACCACACTCATGTCTTCAATGGCACCTGTCTGGTGCTTACCACTAAACCTTAGTACAGCACCAAGCTTACACAGGCAGTCTAGAAACAACAAACAACAACAAAGATTCCAACTCAATTTCCTCCTTGTACAACAGCATTTACAGAGCAATTTCTGACTCCAGATCATTTAACATACATTATCTTGTATAAACCTTACAAGAGCACTGTAGTTTAGACCAATATTATCATCTCCCATGTACAAGGTTTTTTGGAGAGGGTGCTGAGGCTCAGGAAAAGTAGCTCATCTATGGCTACCTAATTAGCTAGATAGATGAGACTCGACTAGACGGGACCATCCAGGTCAAGGTCTCACAGATCATTTATTCAGCCACCACACCTCCCCAGGATTATCTGTCATTACTGTATTTACTTAAATGGAAGACTACCTTTTTTGCCCCTTTGTGAAAAAAGGGGTGCTGTCATCCATTTGGAAATAGTTAATTATTTATTTGGATTTATAGCCCTCACACCCTCCCCACGAGTGGGCTTAGGGCGGGTCACAACAGCTAAATACAAACATAGCAATAAATCCAGATACAAATTCATACAAAGTTAAAATTCCTAAAAACAGCAACAATTGACAGAAATTTTGATTTCCCGTATCCACAGGTGCCTCCCGTCAGGCCCATAGCCAGGATTTTGTGGTTTGTGGGGCAATTTTTTTTTGGTGGGGCTGAAGTTCTCAGTGCAGAAAGAAAAGCCATTTAGACAATCGAAATTGCAAGCTATCAGCCACTTTAGATGACAGTTCATTGCAAGTTAATCACTTCTGCCAGCCTAACAAGCCAGCAGGTGGTGGTGATGACTTCTATAGTCAAGAAAGCTAACACTTAGGCAGAAAAAACTCTCTTAAAGGAGACCAGTTTCTTGACACAGAATTAGAAGGTATCCTAGAGGTCACCTACTCTAACCCCCTTGCTGAGTTTGGGAATTAATCAACTACAGCACCTCACTCTGCTTAAAGGAGCACACAACTTTTAAAAATGTTTTTAAATGATTGAAAAAAGCATTTACAGGAGAACGTCTTGTGGGGCTGTGCCTTGAAGAAAGGGGGCAGAGCACCCAAAAGCCCCACTGTAGCAATGGGTCTGCCTCCGGTGCTGGGCAGATGCTGACAAAGATAAGGACCCACTCAGCAGATGCCATGGTTATCTCTAAAGTATTTAGATGCCTGCTGCCTCAAACAAAGGCCTTGCAGAACAGCTCCGTTTGACAGGCCCTGCAGAATTGCATTAAATCCCACAGGGCCCTGATCTCCAGTGGGAGCATGTTCCACTAGGCCAGAGCCAAGGCGGATAGAGCCCTGGCCCCAGACAAGGCTAAGCAGACGTTTTTCAGGCCGGGGACTACTAGCAGATGTTGCTCGGCAGAGCACAAATCTCTACGAGGCACATATATATGAGAGAGACATTCTTCAGTCTCACATTGGCACCTTCTCACATCAGCCAGGAGGAGCTAGGACAGAGCACACCCCACCTTCACCAACTGGCTAGCAAGAGCACAAGCAGTGCCCAGAAGGCACAAAGGCAGAGGGTGGCACACACCCCCACACACCAGCTGGCCTGCTGGGGTTCTTGCAGTTTGCTGAATCACCTGGTGGGGACTGTCCTCAATCTTTGTGCCTTCTGGCTGCTTGCAGAGTCACAAAGACAGAGAGAGGAGCACCCGTTCCACTCCGGCTTGCTAGCTGCTTGTAATCCAGCAAGCCAACAGGATTGGGCAAGCTTCGCTCTCTGCTTCTGTGCCTTATGGCTCATGTCAGAAGTGAGTGGAGATTAGGGTCATCTTAAATTCAGGGTTATCCTTTTTTCCCCTTTAGCCTTCTCTTTTTTCTGGTGTATGTGTGTGTGTGTCCTCCTTTCAGGTAAATACAGTGTATCCCAAAGGGTACCGATTTCTGTTCTCACAGATTTGAAAATAGCCTGACAAAATAGAAGACGATACATAGGGAATTCAGCATCTCATAACAAATCCTTATGGTGGTAAACTCTTATGAAAGCAATAAATATAGACATGCTTCACTTATTTTCTTACCAGTAAGTGACGTCTAAGGGTGCAAAGTATTTCTTCATAATTAAGTCAGCAAAGTAAGCTTCCGTCTCCCTGCAAGCTGTTCCATTGCCAATCACTACAGTGTCACAGCTTTGAATGGAAAAACACACACAATTAAGACTGTATAAAGTTGCCACACCATCGTCCCCAGCACTGGACCACCATGGGGTCAGGGAAAAGAAGATAATACCATCCCCACTGAGCTAATATGAATTTCCAGACAACTAAATCATAGACAACTAGTAGAGGAAACATGAGTTTTGTTACCCATCCTACTTATATCTCTACCTATCTCTACTGGATCAGAACAGTAAGAAAACCCATGCTGCATCAGACCAAATGTCCATTTAACCTGGTACCCTGTTTCACACAGTGGCCAACAGGATGCCCCTGCAAAGCCTACAAGTAGCACACAGAGACCAAAGCCTTCCCCCTGCTGTCACACCACACACTGGCATTCAGAAAATTACTTCTGTTTTAATGGGACAGACTGCATACACAGCATCCTTACTTAGAACAGTGTGGAAGTAGGGCAAGTATTTCTCTATTGAAGAGGCAACCAGGCCAATACTTCCTGTCTTGCCACAACAGGCCAGCATTCTTCTTCCCTCTGATAATACTTCCAAAAGGTCAACAAGAAGGTGCTCTTTTTCATGAAGGGTAATAGTTCTACTGTTTATTATTTATTACATTTTTATCCCATCTTTCCATCTAAGTATAGGGTACAAGGTTTCCCCTACTTTTATCCTCACCACAACGTGTGAAGTAAGTAAAGCCAGGGGTCATTTCGGGGGGTATCACGGGGGAACACAGTTCCCCCGGGTGAGGTACGGGGAGCGGGGCACATGACTAAGCCCCGCCTCATGCTTCCGGCCGCCCTGCTTCCGGCCCTCATTCAGCCAGGAGGAGGCAGGAGAAGAGGGAGGGTAAGTTGCTTCCTCCCTGCCTGGGGCCAGGGAGGGCCTTTGCGGGGCTTCCTCGCACTCCTGCCGGCCTTGCAGGTCCACCGCCGGGCACCTCCTGGGGCTCAGCAGTGGAGCTGCAAGGCCGGCGGCGGCGGCCAGGACCGTTGGGGGCGAGGTGTGTGGCCTTATGACACGCGTCCGGTGATGTCATGGGGTGTGGCCTTATGACACACTTCCGGTGAGGTCAGGGGGTGTGGCATATGCTAATGAGTTATGCTAATGAGTTCCCCTAGCTCTTTTTCTATAAAATGACCCCTGAGTAAAGCTGCAGTGTCATCAATATGTGGGTGATACCCAGCTCTACCTTTCTTTCCTACCTAATTCTGAGGATGCTGTTGATGTTTTGAACTAGTGCTTGGAGTCACTAATAGGCTGGATGAGTATGAACAAATTGAAACTTAACCATGACAAGACAGAGGTTCTCTAGGTTAGTAAGATGACAGACCAAGGACAGCAGATCTCCCTTGTCTTGGATGGGGTTATATACCCATTGCAAACCCAGGCTCACAGCCTGGAAATGCTACTTGACACAGCAGTCACCTTACCTAACTTAACTTACTTCAAAAAAAATTATGGGCCACCTTTCTCCCTTGTAGAATTCAATGCAGCTTACAATATAACAATTATAAAAACCCATTAAAAACAATATAAATAAGACAACAATTTTAAAAGTACAGAAAAAGCCAAAATTTAGATTTAAAAACCTGCCTACCAGACAAGCATCTTTGATTGATGGGACATAAGATCAAGTGGCTGCAGTGGCCCAGAGTGCTTTTGCCCAATTTCAACTGGTATGTCAGCTGCGGCTGTTCCTAATTCAGTTATATCTAGCTACAGCAAGTACAGAATACTGAGGCTAGATTGCTGGTCATGGCCAGCTACCAGGAGCATGACCCCAACACTACAGCAATTACACTAGCTACTGATCTGCTCCTGAGTCCAATTCAAGGCATTGATTTTGACCTTTAAAGCCCTACATTGCTGGGGACGGCGGTATCTGAAGGGCAGTCTTCTTCCATATGTTCCTGCCAGGGAATTAAGATTGCAGGGAGAGGCCCTCCTGACTGTTCCACCAATTAAAGAAGCTTGTCTGGTGGGTACACAAGAGAGGGCTTTTCCCATGGCAGCCCCAGAATTATGGGACAACCTCCCTGGAGACATGTGTCTGGCCCCCTCAATTTCCGTATCTAGGAGGCAGTTGAAAATGGTTTTATTTAAAACTCCATTAAATTAATTTAGTTTTTTATTTATTGGCAGTCGTAATTGAGATTTTAGATAGTAGTCTTTTATTTGTTTTTTATTGTTGTTGTTTTCATTACATTATAAGCTGCCTTGGGTTCTGCAAAGTAGAAAGGTGGCTAATAAATATTTTAAATAAAATAAAATAACAAGGATGAGGATGAGTGACGGTTCAAGTAAGCTAGTGAACTTCAAGATTGATTAGGGATTTGGACCAGAGTCAGACAGAAGTTTTCATCAACATACTTGTACTCCAACAGAAGTCTCCTTATCTTCTCAGCTTCACGGAATCCTTTACCATGATGCAAATAAACAATATCCGTATGGAGTATGTGACCTAAGAAAACAGAAAGGAAACAGAATCAGGAAGAACAATCTCAATTGCAAAGATTTGTATCGGTACAAGTTGATTAATCATCTTAAAAATATAAGGACTACATAGCCATTTAAAAACCCATTCCATTGAAACTTGAATCTCATCATCTAACTAATTGCAATGGGTGAACTGGATGAAATGTCCAGATCAAAAATTCCACACAAGTCATGCACTGCAGGGCTATGCTATTTCCTTCTGCACACTTGTGCAAAATCCCCAGGTTTGCATAAAAATATGAAATACTGAACAAAGAAATAATTGGGAGATAAAAATACTACCCCCTGCGCTCCCCTCCCAAAATCTGCACAGGCATCATTATAAAAAATCCTGGCCAATATCTTGGGTTGCCTTAACAGTCCAAGATCCTGTGCAAAACATTTTGTTTGTTGTTTTTTTTAGGCAAGGCTTAGCCAATGAGAAGAAACAATAGGAAGAAGGTAGGAAACTGAGCAACTGGGCAGTTGGGGGGAGCTGGCTTTTGGGAGGATGGGAAAGAAACAATTGGGGGAATGAGAAAGACTGAAGAAAACAGAATCAGAACGAGACAGGAGGAGGCACGGGCTGGTGTTTCAAAGGGGTTCCTCGTCCCTGGTTAGTCTCTTGGGTCCCTCCTCCCACATTGCTTTATTCTAAAAGAAATCACTTATATGCAGAGCAAACACTGGCAGAAGACATTCATGCTCTAAACATCTGGTAACACAACGGACACTTCTCTTGGCTGCTTACTTACTCATTGGTGAAATTATTGCCAGTTTGCAACCATGAGAGTAACCAGGATCAACTCCCATCAAGGTTCGCCCTCTCACAGGACTCATAAGAAGCAATTGGCGGAGGTTCCTTCCAAACATCATTACAGATTCCTTCTCGGCATCTGAAGTTAATTTTGACCTAAGAACAAGAAACCAGCAACTTCATCACATGTGTGCAAAGGAATATTTCAGTTACATACCCTGACTCAATTGTTCCCCCCGTTCCCATTACTCCCCCCCCCCCAGTGTGTTATTCCATGCTGTCATAAGAAGGCTGGTGCTGCTTTTAAAAACTGGTCCTGGTTCTGGGCCAATTCTTTCATTACCTAAGTGGTGTGATGCGCTCAAGGCAACTTTACTCATGATTCAAAAGAAGCTTCTGCGTCCTCCCTCATTTGCAGTTTACAACACCCCCCTCCCCAGCAGTCATTTCTGACCTAGGGAAAGTTAATTCCTAGTGTTGCAGGCGCTGCACTGAGGAGGGAGAAGGACGCAGAATTGCCCCCTTTTCCCATCAGTGCTGGTCTGCTGGCAAAAAAGGTAGGGGGGCAATTCAGCTTCCCCCTTTTCAGGACATTCTCAACCTGCTACACTATTCGCCCCATTAGGTCCTGCAAATCAGCTTCCTCGTGGCTGGAGAGGAGCTCTGGGAGAAGGGAACAAGGGAAAGATCTGTGGTACTTGCACCCACAAACTGCTAGATCCAATCCAATATCTCCTTCAATCAGCATGGGCAGCGTCTTAAATTTATTTGGTTGTAACCATGAGTTCAAACATTTGCTTGAAAGCTCCGGGCTTAGCCATGTGACTCATTCTCAGGGCAGAACTGGATGGGACACTGATCATGTATAGAGTATTCAAACAAATAAACCACACCCTGTTACATAATCACAAAGTGTATTTCCATGCTCAACACTACTGCTGTTGCTTCACAGAAAAAAACAACACAAAAAGAAATGGTGTCATATCTCATGCTTCCCTTTGGAGTCACTAATGCACTGATAAGGGCCAATAAACTGAAGCTTAATCCAAACAAGAAAGAGTAGCTATAGTATCAGCCAACGGCAAATCAAGGACAGAGACTGGATTGCAACTTGGGGTATTATGAGGTCATTTCTGTAGATCAGTATTCAAGTTGTATCTGTGGCTCGTAGGTCCTTTAACCAACTTCACATTGTTGGTCAGAAACATCCCTTCCTGGAAAAATGAGATCTGGCCACAATCACACTCTGCTGTTCCCCTCCAGATATAAATAACTGAAATGCACTCTGCATGAAACTGCCTCTAAAGATTGTCCGGAAACTTCAACAGGTTCAGAACACAAGTTGCAAGACTGCTAGGTGGAATCAATTACTGGAAACATACTGCTCTGCTACTAAAAGAATGACACACTCTGCAAATTCATTTTGAAACACAATTCAAATCACAGGGTTGCAATTTTAAGAGATCTGCTTGTTCTGGTTTCTTAAGTCCTTCCTGCTCCCACACAAACCTGTTATGACAGACCCCTGTCTCTTTCCCAACACTCAGGCAGAATTTTCCCACCAAAAATATTTTAGTTCCCTCAGTAACTGAGTCGCCCTCTAGTAACATCTATTTCTTCATTGTTTGATGAGCTTACATTGTCCCACCCTGTCACAGATATTTGTTTAGGCTTTAGACCCAGTACAGGAATTTGAGGGAAATACAGGAACTGTTCTGTTTTATAAAACCTTGTGAAATGGCACTTGAGGTAGATTAACTTTCAAAAACAGAATAATTTTTTTATTAAACAGGCAGGGAATATATAAATATGAGGATTCAAGGTTGCTGAGATAAAACTTTCTAATATATACATAATTGAGGCTTTTGAACATAGAAGAGAGCAGTGTTGAAGCTTAATTTCTGAGTTTTGAGTTATTTTCAGTGAGAGGTTTTTGCTTATTATTATAATATTATATATTTCAGCTTTACACAGAATCTTGAATATAGTTTCTTAGAGAATAGCTCTGTATTAGTGCTTCTAGGTTTCTCCTTTCAGAGATCTAGTTTTTCCCTTTAGAGATTAGTGTTTTCCACAAACTCCTGAGGTGTCTAAGCTTCTCCCCTTTATCACAGACCAACATTCACTTCTCAACCCCTTTCACTGGCAGCAAGTTATTCTCCTTGTCCCTAAGAAGCAATAACTTCTTTTACTATTTGGCTTGTATGGGAGTTCTCGCTAACTACCCACAGGGGTCGTTTCGTAGAAAAAGAGCTGGGGAACTCATTAGCATAACTCATTAGCATATGCCACACCCCCTGACATCACCGGAAATGTGGCATAAGGCCACCCACACCACCCCCAACGGTCCCGGCGGCCGCCACCGGCCTTGCAGGTCCACTGCCGAGCCCCATGAGGGGCCCGGCGGTGGACCTGCAAGGCCAGCGGGAGTGCAAGGAAGCCCCGCGAAGGCCCTCCCTGGCCCCAGGCAAGCAGGGGTGGGGAGAGGCAGGGAGGAAGCAACTTACCCTCCCTCTTCTCCTGCCTCCTCCTGGCTGAATGAGGGCCGGAGGCAGGGCGGCCGGAAGTGGGGGGCGGGGCTTCATCATGTGCCCTGCCCCCGTACCTCACCCGGGGGAACTGCGATCCCCCGCGTTCCCCCCCGAAATTACCTCTGACTCCCAGACCTTCTGCCAAACCCTTCTCCAATATCTATTGTCAGTATAAAACTGTTCTGTGGATTTCTTGACTGAGAATCTAAATTTTCCTTCACAGTAGTTCAATATATTTAAGACAATTGGTCCTTCTTCTCTCTGTAGAAGTACTTTTCTGACAATTCCCTGACAGAAATCACTGACTCCCAAAGTCTCTTACTTCAGAAGCCAAACCTTTTGGCTACTAATCCAGACAAAGACCAAAAGGCAAATGAATCTTTTCCATCCAAATCAGCTGTTTTATTTCCTCTCTAAACTGATGATGGCCAATCAGAGAGCGAGTAGAGCAGCCAATCACATAAGCTCTTCTCCCCAGGGAAGATTAACTCTTGAACTCCCTGTGGAATTCCCTTCCCCTGCATCCATTAATTTGATACCTAGTCTTTAAATTTTAGATGCTAGGAGACAACTTTCTTTTCCCAAACTTTTGGCGACGTTTAATGGGGGGTGGGGGAATGCTGGATTACTTTTATTGCTGTTCTTATCCTTAAACGCAGACATTCATATTACATATTAAACATGGAGAACAGAAGGTGGGGGTGCATGCCAGGTTGCAACGTTTGACAGCAAGTACACTCAGGTCACTGCTGATTGTTTCCTTAATATTAATTTAAGGATTCTAGAGATAAATTCAGGGAACTAATTTTGGCTTCGATGTAAGAAAGCCAGCTGGAATTAACAGATTCAGAAAGTAGTTGGTACGTATAACTAAAGGGGTCAGAGTTGAAATGAAGTCGTAACCAAAATTTAATAGTGTGGATCCATGCCTTAGTATCCAACAAATTCTGACCGCACTCCAAGCATAATACAGCATAGGTACCCCCATGATCTTTCGCAGAAAGGTAGAGTGGACACATTCAACTGAAATGTCCATTGCGTCATTCCAGAGAGGTAATAATTAAGCTCTAGTTTTAGCACTAAAGGCTTTAAGTGCAGCTGGCACATACTGGTTACCTTGAACAGAAAAATAAAAGCGACAAATTGCTGCAGCACTAACTTTAGCTAGATTAATAGCCATTCTGCGATGGTAGGTCCAAGTAGCATTTGATTGGAAATAGATGCCCAGATATTTGAAGTGCTTAACCTGTTCAAGTTTGTTGCCATTAATAATCCACTTATATGATTTTCGGGAATAGGGAATGACTAATACCTGTGATTTTTCATAATTCAGATCCAATCTGTTAATCACACAATAATCAACAAATTAACATTTGTTGTAGGAATTCTAATGGAGAAGATTGTAGTGAAAAAAAATGAATTAAGACATACGTATTTTTTTTCTCTACTGAAGGACCTCTCCGTAGACCACACTGGTGGTTCTGTCCTGAAGTGCTACGATCACCAGGCTGCCTCATGAGCTCACTCTGGAGCAGGCCACATAGAACTGTCCATTTAAGAAGCAGTCATCTGTTACACCAACTCCTGCCATCTTCCACAAAAGTGATGGCCTTTCTACTTGTGTTCCTGGATTGTTTTGCTCAAATGGAGAAAGTGTTGTTCTGAGCATCTCAGGGTGATCTCACTGGTACTTGGCCTGCGCAGCTCAGTGCACCGCAGGAGTACTATGTGCAAATGTCTTTGCCGCATAAGTTGCCTTCTCCTTGTAGCATTGGTGTATCTGGCTCAATGTTTGCCAGGAGCTTTCTTGGGGACAGTAAGAGGTGGGAGGGGGAGTTGGTGTGAGGGAGTGGTGATGTGGTGGACAGTTCTTCAGGTTCATGAGGGAGGCATGCATCAAAGTGGCTACTAGAAATGTCCTTTATTATCTCCCCATGAACATTCATTAACTCAACTGCCATGCTGGCTTTTTAAAAAAATGTCTATTCAGGAGTCTTGAATCACTGATTTCTGTAACTGTCCTCAACTGTTTGCAGTCTCTTCTAACTGTGTTTAGATCTACAGCTGAGCAATCAGAGGAAGGTGAGTGCAAACAGGCAGGTTTTACCCCAGAACTTTGAACTACACAGTTGACCAAGGGGGGGGGGGCAAGGAGGCAGCAGCCTGACAGGCACATGGGAAACAATTGGGGGGACACATTTTGCACCTTTTGTACCCCCTTAGGGGTCGTGTTTCTCAGAAATCTCTTTGTGAGCGGGTTGACGTCATGGTAGGAATGCACTCCCCTTATTTTGGGTTTCTTGGTGCAGGGGTTTGGCCTGGACATTGAATTGGGGGGGAGGGCATACCCCCCCTTTTTTTACAAAATCCTCCCTTCCAAATGCCAAGATTCCCAACTCCCTGCTGCTCCTGCTTCCATCAGTATGCCCCCATCTAATACTCCCTGGCCCAATGCCAGGGAGCAGCTGTGCCTCCCACCTGCTGCAACCATGGGTGTGGGGACACAATTCCACTCCACTGCATGAAGATACTTCTGCACCCTGCAGAGTGACTCATGCATGGTGGAGCACCAGGTATGCTGTGCCCGTGTCCAGAGGGGCTGGGACCTGCAACATTTGGCCACCACTATTCTCTGGAGGCACCTGCAAAAGGCACACCCGTTTGTCACTGCCAGAGGAAGGAGTGTCAGCCACTAGTGGTAGGTGGAAGAGGCCTACTCTCACTCAGCAGATGGAGGTGGCTTGATGCCTCCTCTCTACTAGGTCACATAGGTTCTGTCCTGTCTGTTCTATGGTCCAGAACCCACACTTGACAACATTTTTCCAGAAAGCACTTTCCTGGGGGCACCTTCTTTGGCAGGCTGTAACTTGGACCCTCCAAGTAAGGGCACGTAGGGGGGCAATCCCAGGGAGGTCCACCACAAGTTTGATACCTGTACTCACACAGGACCTGCTCTATACACTCCTGAACCTGTGTCTGATATCTCCTCAAAAAGCACTTTCCTGGGGACACCTTGTTTGGGGGTCCATAACTCGGACCCCCCAAGTCCAATCCACACATAACTTGGAGGGCATGCAGGAAGCATCCCAGGGAGGTCTGCCGCAATTCTGATGCTTCTATCTCACACAGGGTCTGTTCTATACACTCCAGAACCAATGCCTGACATCTCCCTGAAAAGCACTTTCCTGGCGGCACCTTGCTTGGGGGCCCATAACTCGACCCCCTCCCCAAGTCCAATCTTCATCAAACTTGGTGTGCAGGTAGAGGAGAGACTGCTGGAGATACCCCACAATTATGGAGTCTCTAGGCTCCCAGAGGGCCACCCCACTGCATCCCGAACTTCTCAGCTTCAGCAGAACGGCCGGGTTTTCCCAGTTTGTACCCATCCCTAATTAAGACCATTATAACAATCTGATGTACTCAGTATGAAACACACAATTTGGACTGTCATTAAAAATGTTAAGCAAATTACAGCTTGCATATAGAAACTGTCAAATTTTCCCCCATGTAAAATGCATTCTGATCATTAAATTGTTTCCCACCAGTCTAATTGCCAGGAGAAAATGCCTTTAATGTTCAAATTTTGCATATCCTTAAGATCCAAATAGCAAGTTATGAAACTTGTCAGTGATAATAGCACATATATAAAAACTCAGCTATTCAGTCCAATTCTACATTCATCTACTTGGAAGAGACAGAACTTACTTCCAAGTAAGTGTTCTAATTCTGCTGTTTTTCTTTTTCATGCCCTAGAATTTCCTCTTTTACATAAAAAGAGTTGTTGTTGGGGGGGGGAGATCAATAGTACCCTTATGTGATGACCAGCACATTAAGTGAAAATGTATTATCTCAACAAAATGGAATGCTTATTAAATTAAGATGTTTAACCTCCCATAGCTGTCCTCAACTAAAAGCCTAACGGAATATCTCTGCCTTACAGGCCCTGTGGAATTGCATCAAATCACGCAGGGCCCTGATCTTGTTTGGCAGAGAGTTCCACGAGGTCGGGGCCAGGACCAAAAAGGCCCTGGCCCCAGTCAACGGCAGCCAGACCTCCTTAGGGTCAGGGATCACCTAGTGGACCAACAAACTGGGCATAGAGACCATAGCCTTCCATGGATGTTGCCCCCAGTCATAAGGGAAACAAACATAAGCCTTGAAAAAATTAATTGCTCCACATAAGAACATACATAAGAAAAAAAGAGAAGCCATGTTGGATCAGGCCCCTGGCCAACCCAGGTGCCATCAGAAGTGGGGCCAGAACTCCAGAAGCCCTCCCACTGTTGCTTCCAAGCACCAAGAATACAAAGCATCACTGCCCCAGATATAGTGTTCCATTTACACCTTGTGGCTAATAGCCACTGATGGACCTCTGCTCCATATGTTTAATATGAGGCATCTACCTCTCTATGTCTTTGAAGTGAGTAGGTTATCCGCAACACTGTCCCCTCTCTTACCACTGGGATGCTTCATGTAGCTAACATCAGCAGCTGAATCCCAAAAGCATCTCCATTATCTAGAAAGAATGGTCCCAGTCCTGAGCATTCAATGACTTGAAAAAGCACATCAGTTGGAAAACAGAGGACATCAGCAGCCAATATCATTTGGGATAGCTCACAATTTCAAGGAAGATGCCTGCTCATTTCTCCAAGAACCCATCAGCAATGGCCAATTTCCAACCTATACACACATTCCTATTCCCACATGAGAAGGAGGGTAACATTTTTTCCCTATGGTAGCCTCTTGAAGCCTTGAGGTGCACTGCTCTGAAGGTCCCTGTCAAGCTCAGGTTTAACTTTCATTTCCTTAAGTTCTGTTTTTCTTCCCCTTCGCTTGTCATGTTGAATTGGGGGGGGGGTGTTGTAAGAGCACATAAGAGTAGAAGCCATGATTATTCCTGAAGTTGTGCCCCAAGTGCTGGTTTTCATGGGACTGACCTTGGTGAATCTTTGTGTCATGCCTAGGTTAGATAGGGCACCATATATCTGTCCGTGTTGCTATAGAAACGCTAGGGGGTAGGTGTGACATGGGTGAATGTGGAACGTTATGCTTTTACCTATCACCTGTAATTTCCCGCAGTTTTCTTCAGTCCTAACAAGAGTTCTTGAACCTACAGCAAGCATATCTCTAATAAACATTTCACTGCCAATAGTGTGTGTGGAGAGTGACTTAGCTGGGGACCTGACGGTCCCTTCAACTCAGGGAGAGGACTTTTTAAATTGCAGACAGATGTGACTTGAAAGGGGAGCTTGAAGCACCCATGCCCAAGTAGACTAACCCCAATTTGCCTCCAAGGCCAGATGAAAGTGCTGTGACCTGCTGGACCAGCATGTGTATCACCAATAGACTGAGTTGATTAACTGGTTACCTGAATTCTCTGCAGAGAAGAGGATAAATAAGGCGTTTATATGAGTCTTCTACTGAGTAACGCAGCAACTCCATTAATTCAGGGTTTGCATAGGCCTTTGGTCTCCACCTGTGCACCAAAATGTTCAAAGTCAGATCATTTGGCAACATCATAAATCACAATCTTCCAAAAACCTGCCACTTTATAAAAAAAAGAACAGGAAGATTCATTTAGAATGTCTGACATGAATGCCTTCTTTATCAGGACCCTTAATGTTTTGAAGATGTGAATCATTTTCTGGTCAGAACATAACAAATCATTAATAAGCTCTAGTAACACGGACAAATGGAGGATGATATCCTGAATTACCATTAGTTAAATCATCTCAAGCTATAACAGTCATGAACCTACTTAGTCCATGGAAACAAGAATTACTGTAAAGAAATAATTTGATTGCAAAAGCTAGCGCATGGAAGAGTTGGGGTAGAACTTGAAACTAACAAATTATGTGGCAGGGTATGAGCTTTCATGAGTCACTGAAACAGTTTAGACACCTGCTAAAATCCTTCCGGCCTTTCAACCAATGAGTTGGATCCAGTGAAAATTTCTGCTGATGGAAGGAGGGTGATTTTCACCCATTCCCGTCTCCTACTGTTCACCTCTGTCTTCCCCCTCATGCTGTTCCTAGGGGACCTCTGCAAACAGGGCAATCTCCAGTTGTCACCTCGGCAACTAAGTCACTTCGTGGTTGTAATCAAGTCACTGTTCTGTCAACTTCTGTCCTCTCACCCCTCCTCATCCTCTATACAACAGGGAATCGACCCTTGGCACTTACCGTGAGGGGTCCTTCTACTCTGAGGAAAGGAGGACATCTTGGGTGATTCCCACCATCCTATCAGGGAGAGGCAGGAACATATTCTTTCTTCCTCTCCCTGTGTGGACTGGGAACGCCCCTTACACCTCATTTCGGGTAACTCCCAGCAGCAGTACTGGATAACACTCTTCCTTAATATTGAACAAGATAACTCAAAAAAACTGCAAACATGGGTAGAAAACACTAGGAACAAGGACAAGGAAGGTCATGAACCGTCACGAACCCCCAAGTAAAGAACTGCATACATGCAAAAGGCACAACAGTTCAAAGACAGGGAAGCAACACATCAAAGATTTTATTTTTATTTTGAGATAGAGGTGGAGAGCAGATGTTCTGGGTGGGGCAAGATGTCCCCCTTTCCTCAGAGTAGAAGGACCCCTCACGGTAAGTGCCAAGGGTCGTTCTCCCTCTGAGGCGGAGGACATCTTGGGTACTTCCAAAGCAGTACCCAATGCCCTGGACGGGAGATCGCTCTCCTCTCCTACGATGTGTTGCAGAACCCTTCTTCTGAAGGAGACATCCACCAAGTCGTATGCATTCAGTTTGTAGCGTCTGATGAAGGTAGACACGTAGGACCAGGTGGCGGCTCGGCAAATTTCTTTGACCGAAGTGTACTTGGCTAGAGCTGCGTTAGTGGCTGTGCTTCTGACTGAATGAGCCGTAATTCCTGAGGGTGTTGATGTACTAAGACATAAGCTGTTCCAGATCATATGCATCTGCCTGACAGATGACAGCTCCTAATTAACAGATAAGA